AGGCGAGAAATTTCCGTCTTTTTTTTTTAAATTTATTTTAATCATTTCAACTTTCTGAACCTTAAATACATACTTATATGATGACATGACAAATATATTCCACCTGCTCTGATCCAAGAAATTGCATGAACAGTTAGCAGATGGCGTGCTTCAAAAGAGTCGAAAAGAGAATTTTACGGGAAGCACATTAAAACTAGGAGGCGTTAAAAATCGACCCGTTTTCGTTATACCATTTCGACCTAATCTACAGCTCATCGTATATTGGTAATACAGCGGAGAACCTGTTTCGACTTTATGGGAAGCTGACTGCAAATTTCTGGTAACACAATATTTGGAATCTTACGTGGCGGGTAGGTCATTGCATAAATTTTTGTTGCGATTGTTGACAAAAGGACTTCTCGATGCAGTTAAGCTCTGTATATTTCGGATATTTCCGATCCCCCTTAGTGGTGAGTTTACAGTGACATATTGAACTATAATGTACGTCTTTACCAAGACACATCGAATGCATTGTTAGGGTACATCATTTTATAAATGTTATTTGCATTTTCTATAGGCTAACTCTTAAAGGTTTTAAAGCTTTAGAGCAATAATATGTGGCGTCTTAGCAGTTTTTTCCCTCAAACCGAGAAAATAAAAGCATACTGCCAACCGAGCTACTACGCCCTATACACAGTTTAAAATCTTCATTTCTGTCATTCTAAGTCTAGTGAACATCTTTAAACTTATGAACTGACTTGTAAAATACACAGGTGAATTAAAGAAGAGTTTCTCTCACCTTATGCATTCATCATCAATCCTTAAGGCTTGAGTGAGCAATAACGTGAAATTACGAAGCAGGCGCGTGACACGTTCACGCATAAGAGATTAGCTGTACCAATTTTACCCATACTGGGAAAAAGTCAAATTTTCATTTTAGTTGTTGGAAACTAGTGAGCCATAAAAAGGAGAGCTCAAGGCTAAGCGCTACTTACTAAGCCCATTAGGCTTTTTCAGTGAAATATGCAAAAGACGCTGAAAAATAATTGGAATTGTGTGCTGTTTCGCTTTTAGTATTTGGACTTTTATTCATTTTTTGCTAATACACTGATAAATCGCTTTTCAATAGTGATATAATTCTTAGTTAATCTTTCTTTAACTCAATGGGTTGGTTGGCCGTCGGCTAACTCCGTTAATAGGCTAGCTGATAAACCGCACATTAAAAGTGAACCACTGCAGGCTTTGACAGCTTAACTTCAGTTGGAACACTTCTTTTTTTGGGGGGAGGGGAGAGGGAAGGGCAGTCGCTTTAAGTTCAAAATATAATACAGCATACGCATGCATAACATTAGGGTTATTGGGAGCTACCAACATCACTCTTGAGATCCAAACGATAAATCGTTATAATAATAATAATAATAAGAAGAAGAAGAAGAAGAAGAAGAAGAAGAAGAAGAAGAAGAATACGGTTATTTAAAGATGGTAGCACGGAATAGTTACGGAAACTAGTAAACTTGTGGCCCTCTATCTAAATTAAAATTACAAAAAACATAAAATTCCGAATATACAAAGTCTAAGTACAAAATAAATAAAACTAAGGAAATGCTAGAAGTTCTACATCAATATAGATGAGTATAAGAGCTAATGATGTGGCTAGTGAAAAATATGCAAGAATATGATTAAACTATGAAATGGTGTAATTCCTGCTGCTCTCTAAATAATAAGATATTTCGATAATTAATCTTAAAGGATTCTATTGATACTGCTTTTCTAAGCTCTAGACTTAAGCTGTTCCAGAGTTGGCAAGTAGAAACTGCGAAAGTACCCGTCCCACCGCCTTCGGTCTCCCGATTAAATTTTGGGCAAATAAAATTTATATTACTATATCCAGTTACACTACTATGTTGCTGACTGTTGAGTCTTAAGGAGTCTTCGATATATAAGGGAACTTCACCCTTGATGCGTTTGTATGCCACACAACATTTAGCTATTTTTACTTCCTCATAAAAAGGAAGCCACTGTAGACTATTAAAAAGCTTAACACTAGACTCCTGGTTATTAGCGTCGGAAATTACCCTCGCTGCTCTATGTTATATTGTCCTTTTTTCCTGGTTTAATAAAATATTATACACTTCATGTCAGATCCCGAGGGAAACAGTTAGTTTTGTTTTCCAGTTAGTCCTGGGAAACATATGGACTCGAGGGAAAACAAAACTAACTGTTTTCCTGAGGGACCTGACATTAAGTGTTTTGTTATATTTCCATACTTTCACTTCAACAGCAACAAAAGAATAACCGGAGCGAACCAAAACAGTCGACTAGGTTCTTATAACAACACAAATTTAATTCTTAAAACCACTGAATGAATAAATTACAAAGTACTTTCCTTATATCATCTGCATCTTTTTCGTCCACTAACTGCCGTTTCTCTTCAGGGATGACTTAAAAAATCGTTGCTTTTTAGCGGAGCTCTGGCGCGCGAAGCGCGCCTGCGGAGCACCATGAGTAAGTAAATCTACCCATCCCAGAAAATTTGGTAATCACGTGACCGTACACCGAACGACCGTCCGTCCGCACCACAGGGCAACCAATGTTCAATCTCACACTTTCTAGCTAGTTTGGGGGCAAAGGAAGACTGATATTGCACTCATATTGCTACTGACTTCCTTGATAAACTTTCTAACCTCGGTAACCTGCCTAAGAACGCTATTCTTGTAACTCTTGATGTGTCATCGCTCTACACCAACATTCCACACAATCAAGGAATTGATGCATGCCGTCATTTTCTTGATACCCGCCCTAACAAAAACATCCCCACAGAGACACTATGTGATCTCTTACGCATGATTCTGACCATGAATAATTTCAAATTTAACCAACAGCATTATCTTCAAATCCATGGCACTGCTATGGGTACTAAAATGGCTCCTTCTTTTGCTAACCTTTTTCTTGGTATGTTCGAAACCAACGCTCTCACTAACGCCCCTTGGCAGCCTCACACATGGTGGAGATATATCGATGATATTTTCATGATCTGGACAGAAGGTTCGGATCGTTTGAAAATATTCGTCGATTATCTCAAGAATATACATCCCACTATTAAGTTCACTAGCTCTCACTCACTTACTAACGTTCCTTTTCTCGACGTCATGGTGTCTCTACATAACGGTATAATTGAAACTGACCTATTTACTAAACCCACGGATAAACATCAGCACCTTCTCAGCTCATCATGCCATCCTCACCACACTAAGAAAGCCATTCCGTTCAGCTTAGCCCTCCGCCTCCGCCGTATCTGCTCTACAGACGCGAAGTTTAAACATCGCATTAATGAACTTAAAATATATCTCCTTGCTCGTGGTTATAATAATAATTTCCTTGATAAACAGTTCCTACGCGCTGCTAATATTTCTCGTACTAACGCGTTACAGACTAAACCCAAAGCTTCTAACGATGTTGTACCATTTGTTGTCACATATAACCCAGCACTTCCACGCATTTCTAATATCCTACGCAAACATTTTAACATCTTGCACTCGACTAACCGTTACAAAGACGTCTTTAAGCAACCGCCTTTTGTTGCTTACAGACGTAGCTCTAATCTTGGTGACCTTTTAGTTAAGCACAACTACCCGTTATCTCCACCAATCATTTTCCGCCAGGCTCCTTCCGTTGTGGACAGAATTGTGCCACTTGTCCATACATTACTAACGGCCTCGCAAGTTATACCTTTTACGCTACAGGTGAAACACGCTCCATCACTTCACACATTACTTGTAACACTAAAAATGTGATCTACATGGTTCAATGTAACCGTTGTTACTTACAATATATAGGTGAAACTAAGCGACGTCTCAAAGACCGATTTAACGAGCACAGGTGTGCAGTCGACAAAACTAACATTAAATCTAAACCCACTACTGTTTCTGAACACTTTCTCTCTCACTCTAACCATTCTCATACTGACATGCAGTTAATCCCACTAGAGAAAATTCATTCTTCACTCGACTCAATTCGTAAGGCCAGGGAGTCGCATTTGATAGATAAGGCCATGACACTTGAACCTCATGGCCTAAACCGCCGTGACGAATTATTGTAATCCATATCCTTAGTATTTTTCCTTTCCAGTTTTTATGTTGTACGTCATTTTCGCCTCTCCCTTTTATTGCGACATTCTCCATTTATATAATATTGTAATGGCTACATAAGTTCAGTAACATCTGTAAACCTGAAGAAGGCTGGTATGGCCAGCCGAAATATTGTTATAAAAAACAATATACGTTGTTTTAAAACAGCTTTGCAGTAGTCTTTGGACTACTTGTTCTTGTGATTAATTGACAGCTGTCAAAACGGGGTATCCGCTGACTAGTATCACCTGACCGTATCGCGGGCTCAGGTGTCAACCCATCGAGGTCGACTATCTTTTTGAAGTTATCCGCTGATAAGTAACTAGTTTTCAAATGATTGCAGGCTCAAGTTTAATTTTTTTTTTAATTTATATGAAATATGTTGTGTTTTGTATGTGCCGCACGATTAAAATTTTGATTTCAAACTGACCTCGGAAGCTAAAATTCAGCCACTTTTTACAGGCAGGGAGGACATGCCCGTTGCTTTTGACTTTTCTCACCAAGGTCACGCGTTGGTCACGTTCTACGTCCAATTTTTATACTCTGATTGGTCAAACTTTGACAGGTGAGTTCATGCGGAAAATTTATGCAGCATCTTAATTCTTGTTTACTTTGACAGCTGAAGCTGACAGAGTTTTGTGTCAACTTGTGATGTTTTTAACTGTCTTTTTCCACTGAATGTACAAAGTGAAATTCAGCCGCTATTAAGAGTCTTCTGTTATTCATGGCTAGTTTGTTTATTGGGTTTTTGGTTGAGAAATACGACGCTTTGGCAAAGTCGGAAATCCGATTTCGGATGGCATCGTTTTCGTTTTTCACCTTGCTTGATGCGTAAGACGGTTGAAAAGTCTGAAGCGATTCTGGCCTTACTTGATAGTTTTCAGTGCATCTCGAATGGTAAGCCTGAGTAATTATTATATTTAATGTTTGTTTTTTATATCTAATTCAGCATGAAGTCGAGCGTAGTTTATGCGGCTATTTGGTTTATGCACGTTTGTAAGATTTGAGACAATGATCTGACCGAGTATCAGGTTTGATTATAAGCTTATAGAACTTAAAAAAGCCGTTAGACATTTTCTCACCGCAAACAGAAAGAAAACGTTTCAAAGAATATTTAGTTATAATTCTGGCTGTAAAAGAAAGCTTTGAGCGATTTTCTTGCCTCGAGTTCATCTTTGAAAAAAGCAAACACCGGGAAGCCGGCTTAAAACATAAACAAGGATTTTCCTAGACACTTAAATACTTGTCTTCGTGAATGAAAATTGTTGTCTCTGTATATGTTTCACCGAATTATTTTCCTTTTATTGATTATTTTCCAGGCGTAATCTACTGTGATCAAGAGCCATTACGGGCTCTTAAATGTGATCTAAGATGATTGCTATTTTTTGGGTGTACATATAAGGCTATCAACTCGATATAAGATTAAGTTCACTCTTAGATGGACTGTTTGCAAATTATGTTTCTCTAAAATCACTTAGCCTTTCCCTCAAAAGTCACATGAATGTGCTCTAAAGTTAACTAATTTGTGGAAGTTTATTGTTTGATTTAAATTATAAATTCAAGTTAATAGGAGCTTCGCTTTTAGCCCTGGCTAAATCTATATGTTAGCTTGAGGCTTCGTGCTTGTGTTCAAGTTGTTGTGTTTATTCACAAAAAAAAACAACAACAACAACAAAAAAGAATTTGGGAGTGTTTTTCCCGCCTACCACTTTCCACCATGCTTTGATCACGTGCTGTAATGTATCCCAAGCGGCGTACCTTGCTTAATGTATCACGATCGGGATAAATTTGATTTTAGTCAAGACAACGTGACCAAGAATCAACCAATGGCAGTCCCTGTTTAGTTGAGTGAAAGTCCAGGAATATAACAATTCACCATGTTCACCATCAATAAAAGAATGACGAGTGCAGACAAAACCTTTTGTGTAATGGTGTCATTAAGAGTTCCAAACTGAACTAATAGCGGAGTACCATGGGTAAAGAAATGTGGTAAACTACCCATCCGAGAACATTTGGTAATCACGTGGGCATGACCGTGCACCGACCGCCCGCTCACCGGACCGTCCGTCCGCACCACAGGCATACCAATGTAAAACTAGAAGTTCTCATTGAGAAAGGAAGTGCTGCCGTGAGTTGAGTTGCGAATAGGACAAAGAAAGTATGTAGAACAGTTGAACATATGAATTTTTTTCTGAAAGTCAATAACATAGAATTATGATGCACTCAGAGTAAAATACAAAAAATGAACCGATCACAATGACAAATATGCTTACATTCAGATACTGACTCGCCAAAGTTTCAACATGATTTGTAATTCATTTTAACAACAGCAGTGCTGATAGGCTGTTTCTTCATCGAACAATCATCGTGTATATGACGAGAAGAGTTGCGAACAAATAACGTAAAGGCCCAAACTTGTTTATTCACGGGTCAGGTAGACGTACAGTACACGCCGATCACAACTCACAATCCTGATTCCCGAGATAACAATCTGTGTGACAAAAAATACTCGCTATAACTAATCTTGAAACCTAGCATTAAAAAAAAAAAAAAACGAAAAAATGTCCCGTACAATAGTTCTTCAACTGTTCTTACCGTTTAGGCTGTTTAAAAAGACAGCAAACATCCGATGTACTACAACTTCTGCACAAGTCTTAAACTCACATGAGAACAAAACAAAATGGCGGAATGCTCTGAAGAGAAAAACAGGCGCGGCAGCTAAGCACTTGCTGATTGGTCACCTAGCTGATTGAGCCATGGAACCATTGAACCATTGAACCATCGAACCATGAAACCATTGAACCAAAAAATCTCAAATCGCTCAAGAATATGGGTGCTGCCGGCTGATGCCCGGCAGCAATAAACGGACATAAAACGGGCGAAAATCGCGGAAAGGAACTCAACAACGTGTGAATGAATTTTTCACCAACTTGCCGGCAAAAACCTGAACGACAATGCCGTACAACGATCTACTGCCAGTGTAATTCGATATTCCATGGGCAAAAAAATAATTATGATATTCATTAATTTAACCGGCCAAAATCGGGGTTTGTCCGGGCTAAAAAATATTTGGCCGGTCATCATGACCGGCGACCTGCTGTCCGTTATTTTGAGCCTTGCCCAATGCAGACCACGTGATGTTCTCCACGGAATTTACCATTTGTCTTTTCATAAATTATACATACATATCTACCTGGAGTTATGAAAATCGGGTTAGCAAAATTTTGTAATTTTTCTCAACTTCGCCTGTCTAATAGCTTGACATATGTTTACTGTGTTGCTTGCTTATGTGTGTGTGTTTTTTTTGCTTGTTTTCTGGTTAGGGATTTGTGTAGAAGTGGATGTAGACAGAATTACTATCTTACCCCCCCCCCCCCCCCCCCCCCCCCGTTTT